ACTATTCAAAAACGCAACACATGTAAGAATTTGAATATTCTGTAATGTACAGAAGTTCATCAATTTTTCAAGTTGTCTATAGTTTGCTTTATTCAAATATCAACAGTATTACTGAGAAATTACCAACAAAGCTAAAATTAAAGATTTGGCAAAAAAAAAATATTTTTCATAGTTTCTTGGCAAGGCTGCTCCATTAGCCTACTGCTGGACATCTAACAATGGGTCTGGCACAAGTTAAAGTGGTCTCAAGATGGATTATTTCCAGCAGTCTGTTCAAGCCCTAAATGAGTAAATATAAGTGTTCTCAGAAATGGGCTAGCTGTACTAAAAACTATAAAAAACTATCTAGGATGGGGGAGGGGGGGAAATTAAGAAGACAACCCTTTTTGTATTTTTATTATCATTATCATCATCATCATCATCATTATTAATGTCTATCCCACCCCTCTGCAGCACAATCAGGGCGGCTTACATCAAATAAGCATAATGTGGCATAATTCCTTTTCTCCATAACTTATTTATGGATAAGCTGTAAGACTGCAGCTTTGAAGATAATAATGTGTGGAAGAATAGTAGATGAAAAGGCAGCTCAGTTCTATGACCTGTTGGATTATCTGCATTTGTCAACAGAGGAATAGGCAACTCATAAAAATATAGGCTTAAGGAGTGGCAACTAAAGATCTATCTGATATAGAGGTAATTCCTAATGATGTGGGTAAGAATAAAGGAAGCCTTGTACCTATTTTGTTTCCTTTTTTGAACTCTCCTAGAACAAGATCAACCTCAGCCATGTTACATATTATATGTGCTTGTGCTGAAGGCGGCATATAAATGAAATAAATAAATAAATAAATAAAATATTGGACTGGCCACTACACATCGTTTAATGTTTTAACAGCTGCTTCCATTTTCCTACACGTTACCGTTTAAAGCTATATTCAACAGATTTCAAAACCCTCTTCAGATGCACATTGTTTTCATTGTATCATTATGCAATTATTTTTGTGACAATTGCCAGTTCCAAGATGTAAGCGTTTTTTTCATCAATTGTACCACCCACACCAGCATCAGAATAGTAACTCTTTTAAAACAAGGGTGAACAACCTGTGGCCTCTCCAAATGTTGTTGGACTACAACTCCCATTATGCTCATCCTTCACTGTTGTAGCTAATGCTGATGGGAGTTTGAGAATAATAACATCTCACGGGCCACGTCCCAAACCAACCCGTTTTAAACTTTGGTTGTCTGAAAAAGAATCAGTGCCTACTCCCTCTTTCCATCACATATAATTTTGATCAAAGAAGTTAAAAGATATTGAAGAATACCACTCAGCATGAGAAAGCATTGGTTGTTGATTCAGATCTGTTGTGTTGACAGAGCATGCTACAAATAGCCTGTATGACGTAAGAGATCCCAGTCAAGGTAATTGACTTAAAATTAAGTAATAAATATTTGTAGGTGAAGACTCTTCTCATATCTAAAGACTTCAACCATAATCTTATTTTGTTGTTACCTCATCAATTTAAACTCACATCTAAGGAAGAAAGAGTTACTACTACAGGTTTTTAGTCTAAAGAGCAGATGAAACAGAAACTAGAAACTTTCTATTTGCTTAAAGAATCTGTTTACAAATTAATAGCATGGAATGTAACACAACCCTACAGAAATGCATTTCTTTTAAAAACCTAACGTTTGAATTCACACTGAGAAAGAAATGCCTTTTATCTGGCAAGCATCTTTAGATGTTTTCTACTAAACAAAAACATGTTGAGGAGATGAAAAAGGATTCCAGAAAGTGTTTTGCATCTCCAAATCTTATCTCATAGAGGGAAGAAACTCAGAGCCTCTCTTGGCTGGCAGCCTAATAAGAAAATATCATGAAGAAGAACATGGGAAACACCCAACAAAAGAGACACAAGTGCAGCTATTTAACTATTCCCGATTACAGCAGTGAATAGGAATAACAGATATGACTTGATGTAGGTAAAACAACAACAACAACAATCCTGACATGTGAAGTAAGGATAATATCTGCGCCTTCAAGCAATTCAGATCTGTTTACCCTTCCCACCAAGAAAACAGCACAGCTTAGGAATGGGGAAAACAAATTACTTGGACTTCCTTGGCCTTCTGACTATACAGTATTTGAATTGTACAGCAGCATGCTGTATAGAGTTCAGAGGGACATGCTTGCAAGTTAAATACGTATATGGTCAACCCGTTTGTTTATAAAATTATGCCATCAAGAAGCCATGAAGAATTGTTTTCTTTCTCACAAAGAACAGACACAATCCTGGGGCATAGCTGCAATCCTATATGTACGTATTTATGTATACGTGCTAGCAGACTTAGAGAGACTGAATTTGTCATCTTTCTTTCCTTCTAAGCCTTCCTCTCCCTGTATGATTTCCTTATCAGTTGGCAATATTGCCATCCACCCTTTTGAACTTGCATATTGCCTTAGTTTAATCTTTTGCATTCTCTTCCTCCATGATTGCTCAAATTCAGTTTGTTAGCCAGTCATATCACATCTTTGACACTGCAAAATGAAGACCCTTCTTCATTCTCTCCTTACCCCAGTCTAAAATGTAGACCAGGGGTAGGCAACCTTTTTGAGCCAGGGGCCGGATTGCTGTCCCTCAGACAATTGGTGGGGCCGAAGCACCATAAATAAATAAATAAATAAAAATTACAAATTAATTTTTTTTTAAAAAAATATGCATGCACACTCTCTTGGCCCCAGAAAAGCCACGGCAAACCCCCTGTGGAGATTTTGCCAAGAAAAACCCCAAGAACAGGTAATAACAACAATAATCAATATCATCATGGCGTGCAGCGGCGGCGGCAGCAGGACCAGCCTGGGGCCGGTCCAAAGGCCTTGGCGGGCCGCATCCGGCCCCCCGGGCCTTAGGTTGCCTACCCCTGATGTAGACCATGAATTTCTTCTTCTCTGGTGTTCTGTTGCCTTACCCTGGTGCTCTCATATCTAGCCAGCATCCCACTGCCCTAATCATCTAACTCTCTTACTATCTCTAAAATCACCAAATATTCTCCTCTCAGATTCTGCACAAACCCCTTGTCATTCTTAGTTTCAAAGACCTCCATGGCTTCTTTCCATCTCTGTTATCTATATTGCAATATATCCAGACTAGTAACCTTCACTCCATACCCACCATCCTCCACTCCCTGAAGATCACCTGCCTCCTTAAAAAAAAACTCTGCCTTTCCTCTATATTCTCTGAAACTACTTTCAAGAATGGCTGATGATAGCTTTCTTACTTTGTTCACATGCCTCCACAACTACACCTTTCCCATTAAGCATTTAGCAAACACCTGTAGACACACAAACACACCCTACTTCCTACACCTGCTAAAATGTAAGGAAACAGTAATACATATTGATGCTTAGCTGCATGTTGCTCATATAAATCCTTTGCAGTTCCCCTGTACCATGTTTTGGGCTGTGAGCTTCCCTAGAATAGGAATTTATCTCCTCATAATCTAGAAAATTTTATGAACCCATTACAGACAGTAAACTGTACTGTAACTAGTAGAATTTACTTCTGAATAAACACATAGAGGATCAGATTAATCTGATTACTGTAGACTAAACATTTGTGGACTAGAACCTACTTTCTCTCTGATAAAATGGATTCTACCACTCAGAAGCTTACACTGCAATGACAAGATCTAAATCTATTACAAGAGTGCTTCTTAAGCCATCAGATGTGGGGCACTAGGAACCTATTTTCTTCCAATAAAATAGGGAATAAAAACCAGTAACTCCAGACACTGGTGATAGATAGCACAGAGACCTGCACCAGCCCACAGACCGCCATTTTGAGTAGCACTGTACAGTATTACAATACACTGTCACAAAAACATACATCAGCTCTATCAAGCTAACATGGCTATGACTTTGAATTAATTTATCAGGGTATAAACCACTACAGACAACAAACTGCTTTATTAGATGCTGGTTAAACATGATGCTCAGATTCTGTCACCTCTACTAAATATCTACCTTAAAAGGAGGCAAAGAAACCAAGAGCCTATTTTGTAGGTGGTGTGCTTTTGGGGTGACAGACTTAATACTGCAGTTTTATAAACACTGACCTGGAAATATGTCCCACTCAATGCAGTGCAGTTTACTGCTGAGTTAACATGATGGGAGGGGAGTTTCCTAAATATCGTAACGGTATCAGATCCTGTTTGATCTTAGAAGCTGAGCAAGGTCAGCTCTGGTTAGTACTTGGATGAAAGATCACTATTGACTACCAGGTGCTATAGGCTACATTTCAGAGGAAAGAACTGGAAAAAAACAATTAAGAAAACCCTAAGAAATTAATGGGGTTGCCCTAAGTTGCCAGGGACCTGAAGGCATATATACACACAAACATGCTTGGAACTGTGCAGCAAATTCACAGTTCTATCTATTCTTAATAGGCAATGAGCCAAATTGAGCAAAATAGGGTTTACTTTTGAATATAGTGTAATGGTTTTAGCATTGGACTCTGGAGACCAGGGTGCAATTCCCTGCTCAGCCGTGGAAACCCACTGGATGACCTTCGGCAAGTCACATCCTCTCAGCCCCAGAAAACCCTGTGATGGGTTCGCCTTAGGGTTGCCATAACACACACACACACATAGTGATGTTGTGAGTGTGCCTTAACGTCATTAACAACTTAGGGTGACCCTAAGGTAGTGAGCCTATCATGGGGTTTTCTTGGCAAGTTTCTCCAGAGGGGGTTTGCCATTGCCATCTTCTGAGGCTGAGAGAGTGTGACTTGCCCAAGGTCACCCAGTGGATTTTCCATGCCAAGCAGGGATTCAAACCTTGGTCTTCAGTATCATACTCCAGCACTCAAACCACTACACCACATTGGTCCCACACACAATACAGTAAACAAATAACATGCCAGCATGAGCAGGGCAGCCATGAGGGCGTGCCCCAAAACAATTAAATTAATTTAAATTCAACCCTTTCATAGGGTATGCCTGCCCTGGCGTAGCGGTTTGAGTATTGGACTATGACTCTGGAGTCCACGGTTCAATTCCCTGCTCGGCTATTAAACCCACTGGGAAAGTCACACTCTCTCAGCCTCAGAGGACGACAGCTCTGAAGAAACCTGTCAAGAAACCCCATGATAGGTTCACCACCATAGGGTCGCCATAAGCTGGAAACGACTTGAAGGCACGCAGCAACAAAAGTATCTACCCCTCAGCAAGTCACACTCTCTCAGCCTCTGAGGATGGCCATGACAAACCCTTTCTGAAGAAACTTGCCAAGAAAACCATATGATAGGGTCGCCCTAGGGTCGCCCTAAATGGGAAACGACTTGAAGGCACACAACACACACACACAAACTCGCCAGCCAGCCTCTGGTTAACGCTTATGGCTATTTCACGGCCCTGTTTCTCGCCCAAGCCAGGCGAGGAGGAGGAAGAGAAGGCCCTGGCTCCGCCTGAGGGGCTGCCAGGCGAGCGGGAGGCCCCGGTCGACTACCTTCGTGGTGCGGATGTGCTCCATGGTGCTGCTGGTGCCGCGCCCAAAACAGTCTCCTCAGCCCGACCGCCGACCGGCATCTCCTAGAGACACTTCCGGATAAGAGAGTCCGGGCGGCCAGAGAAGTAGCGAGGGAAGGCCGAAGCGCTCTGCCACAGCGACCCCTGCAGGCCGGAAGACCCACTCAGTAAAAGGGGCGTGTTGGAGTTGGCTGCATCCGCACTGCAGAGTCAGTCCATTAATTTCTCATTTGTGTGCCGCCTTGTATAACCTCCCCCAATGTTTTAAACTCGCCTTGAATCCCATAATGGGAGAAAGCCGAGATATAGATCCTGAAATAAATAAATAAATAAATAAATAAATTTAAATCTGTGAGCTGCCTTGGGTCCCTCCTCGGAGAAAGGCTGCATACAAATGAGATACTGTATATTGTAACCTATATATATTGTAACCCGCCTTGAATCCCATTATATATAATTATACTATAGAGAGAGAGAGAGAGAGAGAGAGAGAGAGAGAAACCCAGCTTGAATCCCATCATATATAATTATACTATATATATATATATATATATATATAGAAAGAGAGAGAGAGAAACCCAGCTTGAATCCCATTATATATAATTATACAATATATATATAGAGACAGAGTAACCTGCCTTGAATCCCATGATACATAAAATTACACAATATAGATATAGATAGATACCTGTTTTGAATCCCATTATATATAATTATACAATATATATATGTATATATATATAGTAACCTGCCTTGAATCCCATTATATATAATTATACAATATAATAAAGTAACCCACCTTGAATCCCATTATATATAATTACACAATATACATATGTATATTGTAACCCACCTTGAATCCCATTATTTATGGGATTCCCATAAATAATGAAGGTATTCCCCATTGACAAGGTTGTCGAGTCGTGTCCAACTGTAGGGGCCATTGCTCATCCCTGTTACTAAGCTGAAGAGCCAACGTTGTCAGAGACTACTCTGTGATCGTGTGGCCAGAATGATTGTTTTTATGATGTAAGCCGCCTTGATTGTTTTGGCAAAAGGTGGGATATAAAAATAAAATTTATTATTTATTATTTTTATTATTATAAAATATACAAAAATAAAAAGCATAATTAAAACCCACCTGCTCCATAAAAGTCCTAACAAACTACAGTTCCCAGAATTTCATAGCACTGAGTCATGGCTTTTAAAGTGGGGTCAAACCGGATTATTTCTGGAGTGTGGATGCACCCCTTCAAGTTGTTTTCAACTTCAGGTGACCCTAAGGCCAACCTATCATGGGCTTTTCTTGGCAAGTTTCTTCAGAGGGGTTTGCCATGGTCATCAGTAAAACCTTGACTTTAGCTAAGGTTCCTGAAGCTTGCACAATCTTTGATGATTTTGATTGCCCTTAATAAAAAAATTGCCCTAATGTGAATATGGAATTTATTAGTCTGTCTTGTCCATAGTAGGATGCTCTTTCACGTTACTGATGTTACATTAGTATAGCAAAGCCAGGAAAACTGTAGTATTGCCAGTTATTGCTGTTGGTCGCTGCACTTCTCTGGTGCATCTGCAACAATAAAGGGTTAAAGCATGCTTACTGTATATATTCATGTATAAGTCTAGAAATTTTAGTCAAATAATAATAATAATAATAAAAACCTGAGTCAACTTATCCACGGGTCAATATAAGTACAATTAGATTAACTTTTATTTAAAAAAGGAACCATCCCCTAGTGAAAGGCAAGAGCATAACCAGCAACATTCATCTCCATTCTCTTATCCATCTAGCCTTTAAGGAGAGCACAAACAGTTATGCCTGCTGGAATTTATAAGTTCTTTGGCATAGTTTTCCTTGCTGTCTTCCTTTAGTTCTTTTGTTATGTGCCCCAATGTTTTACCCTCGACTTATCCACAGGTCATATCAAAATCCATAATTTTGGCCCCAAAACCTGCCCTCAATTTATAGATGAAGTTGAATTATAATCGAGTATATACAGTAGATGCATGTAATTTTCAAGCTAATGTTTTCACCCTGAGATTTCTCCCATTGCCTTCAGAATGGGATTGCCAGATCTCTGGTTTCCAGTTTTTGTGGCTCATCTACAGGTGAGAGAAGAGGATGTAGATTCTTCAGTTTTGGCGAGATCATCTCTGGGAAAGAACAAAGGGCTGTGTGCGAATCTCCACCTCAGATCACAGTTTCCAAGGATATACTGATTTGTTGTGGCAATTTATAAAAAGTGTCCCCAGGCACTGCAAAATGTAAGGCACTCAAGAAAAATGCAGGATGTTACCAAATAAAAGCTAAAAGCACTAACATAAATAGAAATTCATGTTTCTCAGTCAGGCTCAAAATGGAGGACATTCTGGAACTCTTCCTGGACAGAAGGCTGAAATGTAGGACATGTCCTGGAAAAGGAGGACATCTGGTCACCTTGGCCCTGAGGCTTCTAAGTAAAACTTCAGGACCCAAGATCCTGGCAGCCTTTCCTGAGAACTGTAGTAGAGGGTCTGGCAACCCTAGTTGTTGATTTATTAGATTTGTATTTCCTTTATTTCCTCTTTCCCTTTATTCAGTAAGGCTGGATAAATAAATATAATGTTCAAATATAAAAAACACAGGTAAATTAAAAACACATTGAAAACATCAAAGGCGGCCATAAGTAAAACACAGCAACCACACTATAGAAAGCACCTCTCTCAGCAACCAGTTGTCAAACACCCTGCTTGCCCTGGCTTTTTACTTTATCCAAACCAGCCTTGCATTTAACCTAATTGTCCATCCAAGATCAAAGCCACAATAAATTAGTCCATGTTTTTGTTGTAGCGTTGTGTGCCTTCAACCCTAAGGCAAGCCTATCATGGAGTCTTCCTGCAAGATTTGTTCAGAGGAGGTTTGCCATTGCCTTCTCCTGAGGCTGAGAGTGTGTGACTTGCCCAAGGTCACCCAGTGGGTTTTAAGGGGCCCCAAAGCCTCTGACTGGTACATTGGGATATTTGTGACATCATCCTCATGTCCAATCTTTGAGCATTTGAGGCAACAAAGGACCTTGCCTGGGATACCCTGTTCTGCCAAATAGTTAACATTTCTCTGTTTCAGTTTTTAACCGATGAAATGAAACCGCTTGTCAAAAAGACTAATTCAATCAGCAATGTCAAAGAAGAGTGACCTTACGGATTTGGGACTTTTCTGGAGGGGAGGCTCTAAGACCAGCAAGACCAACAATGCAGTGAGGTAAAAAGCTGCCCTCCATACACCTTGTATAATGGGTTGTTGTTGTTTTTATTTGTTCTTGATGCTATTTTTAATTTGTTTTTTTTAAAAAATAGCATTATATTTTTATTAGGCCAACCAAAAGAGCATAACTTAAACAGCAACAAATCAAAAATCTTTACAAGCGCCAGTTTTCCATTTCCTTGCATATAATATTCTTGCTGTCATGTTCATGTAGAAGCAAATTTTCCCATATTTTTCTCAATTTCGTTATCAAAAATACTTAACAGGGAGCGCCCTGACGCCTGACGCGGTGCAGTGGGATGTGTGACGTGACAATGGCATTGGGACAGAGTCGGGGTGGCCGGCTTGGGGTTGGCACCCCCTGACTGCCCCCTGGCCGGCCCTTTTGGATGGTCTGTACAAGCTCTCTGTCAGTGTGGATTGCAGCCGTTCAATTGGAATGTCATCTGTTCCTGATTATTTGTTTTTCACTATTTCTCTTGTTGCAATTTTCATCTCACTTTTTAGAATTTGGGGTTCATCTTCATATGGCTCTTCATTCCATGTGTCCTTCATTTTGTTATCTCTTTTGTATAATTATTTTGTGTATTGCATCCAACGTCTTTTTATTCCTTCCCGGTCTTAAATTATGTTATTTTTATTGTCATAGATAGTCCCAGTCCTTGGTTTGAATTTTCCTTTGATTTCCCAGATCTTGTGAAATAGATCTCTTGTTCTTCCCTTTTTGTTGTTGTCTTCCCAGGATAATGCCTGCTATAAGGAGATGAGTTTCTATTTAGTTGGTATAACTGATTCCTTGTTGTTGGTTTATAGTTTTAACTGTATTGTTATGTTTTAATTTTTTTTTCTTGGTTTAATCTTGTTTTAAGGGGCTGGGAGGGTGGATTATGGAGAAGGGAATGTTTTAACTCTGTTTGTTTTAAATGTTGTAACCCGCCCCGATTGCCGTGCAGAGGGGCGGGCTATAAATAAAACTTATTATTATTATTATCTCTATTTCTCTGCATTGGTCGGTGTAGTAATTTTCTTTATCTTTCCGCATAAGCCATTGTACTGTTGCATTCATAATTCTTAGTTTGTTCCTATCTCCCTTTTGTTTTTCTTCTTTCCTTTCCTTTTCTTTTCTTTGCAGCTATTATCACGTAAAAGAGTTTTCTACCAAAGTTCATTTCTATTTCTTCATCTGTTATCGCTAATTGATACATTTTGGGGTCTTTTTTTAAGATTAATTTCTACAATTTTCATTCTGATCTTATGTAGTTGGGGCCAGTATTGGTTGACTTTTTTGCATACCCACCACA